ATTATAGAGTTATTAATTTATTTTACACACATTTTTTAAATGTCAACAAATCTTGCGTTGTACAAAAAATAACATAATTGCGACAAAAAAATAAAAAATTAACTGGGAACCTTGGCGATAGATATAAATAATAAGTTAATACAAATTAAAACGGATTATAAATAAATAATTCGCTTGGCAGGAATTTAGTATAATTTCTGCATAAATTTCGCTTAATACTATCGCATTTGGAAAGTCAAGAAATGCTAATTATGTCAACATAACAATTAATAATGTCCTAACCATCGAATTAAAAATTTCGCGGCTAGCCGCTTGTGAGGTCTTTGTAATAAAGAAATGTTATGTTTTAAAGGATGTATCTTAATAAAAAAATTATAATTTCAACCTAATAATTTATTATTATAAACAAATTATGAATAAAATAATAATAAAAATAGCAAGATTGAATACTTATGCCATCTTCAAATAATCAATTTTTATCAAAATTATCAACCAAAGAAGAAGATAAAGAGGTTTATGTAAAAACAAAAGAAGGCCGATAATTTGATAGGGGTTGTAGATCTCATTATATTTACACCTTTTTTAAATAAATATTTTTGATTTGGACTTTTGTTTTCAAATTATCGACATTTTTTGTTTTTAGATAAACCTTTTTATCTCCGTTATTTATATATGTATTTAAAAAATTATAGTTTTTTGCTATTGTCAGTTTAATATCTACAATGTTTATATACAGTCAACAAAAATAACAATCAACAAAGATAAGGAGGTTTACCTATGTTTATAAAAACAAAAAATGTTGATAATTCAAAAACAAAACCTTAAATAAAAAATATTTATGTATTTAAAAAAAGTGTTTTTATCGATGAGAGCTACAACCTCCATTACTTTGTCAATTTTTAGTAGAAACACTCTGTATATACAGGGTGCACCATGTGGGGATATCTTTTTTATTTAAAGAGTTCAAGTTTATTAAAATGGTATTTAAAATTAAAAAAAAAACGAGTTTTTTAAATATATTGAAAAAAAGTAAAAACCTGTCAAAATCAAAAATCGCATGCGTATGTTTACGTGTAGAATTTACTTTTTTTTTAATTCCTAGGAAAAAAGTAACAACTAATTTTTGTTTTTATTATTTTAAGGCTTTCTTGCAATTGATAAATTTTATTTTAATAGATCTTTAAATAAAAAATACCCATAGATACATTCGTAATTTCTGACACTGCATAATATTATTTAAAAAATCTTTTAATTTAATTTAACGTTAAGAGCTATAGTGTTGGTTAAATCAGAGAGACAATTTGTAATTTCAAGATTATTAAAATGGCATATTGAAAAAAGGTAAAAACCGGTCAAAAACAAAAATCGTATGTGTATATTTACCAGGAAAAAAGTTATACCTAACAATTTTTGGTTTTAAAAGGTTTTTGTTTTTAATATTTTAAGCCTCTTTTGAAATTAATATATTTCATTTTAATAGATCTTTAAGTAAAAAATACCCATAGAAACATTCGTCTCTCTCTTACTCCTTTTATGGAGAAAATTAAGTAATTTCCCATTTAACCATTGAACCAATTTTATTAAAAAACGCAAAAAGTTAGCCGGGTATTATTAGTTTAATAAAAACAATCAAAACTGTAAAAAAATATGTATATTTTTACTCTGTTCATTGATTGTTAAATTTAAACCAACTAAAAATAGCTATTTGTGTGAGCGCAAAGTGATACATTGCCGCTCTGAGCGAGAAGTTTGGCTATCTCGCGAGAGCGGCAATGTCACTTCGCGCTCGAATTACATACAGGATTTTTTCTACAACCAGGGTTTCTATAAGAATGTTTGGTAAAAATTAATAATTATTGATAACCTCAAATTTGACGTTTGTGTCAAAAGTCGCAAACACACTAAACGTTTCTTTATTATGGTTTCCATGGCAACCAAGTAAAAGTAAAAAAAAACGCTCGCTCCTCGAAAAAGTGAAACTTTGCGCTTTCTTTTGGAAGCGCAAATTTGTACTTTTTGCTTGGTTGTAGAAAAAAATATTTTTTCAGATTTCCCAATATTTTTAATTTATAATTTTTAATATTTTAAATATTTTATACAAATTTCACTATTTTTTTGTATTTATTAATATTTATAAAGCTAATATGTTTATGTTAGGTTTATGGTTATGTCTAATTGTCAGAGACCAAACTTTTAGGCACTTGAAAATTGAAAAAATGCTTCTAAAAAGGCATTCAAAAAAGTTAAAATAGGCACAATACTAAAAAATAAACGCGTTTATTCTAATATACATATTATTATTATGTAAATAAAAAAATAGTTTTAACACAGCTTCATTCAGTAAAAAATTATATTTTGCTTAAATTTCACTAAAATGTTTTTTAAATTTTATTGGGACTTTTTTTTGAATTTATTATTATAATATAGTTTTAAAGTTTTTAATTTCTTTATAAATTATTTTATAGTTTTATTTTATTATTTTAAAGGGATTTTTTATGATTTAATTTATTAATTTTTAGGATTTTTGATTCCTACATTTCCCAAAGCGGCATTATTTCAGATTTCGATAAGTGATCTGACAGTAAAGTTTAAAAAATGAAATTCGCCAACTCGTAAACTTTACAATTTAAAATTTTCCAAATTTTGTAAAAAAATGTTAGTAGAAAATGAATTGTAAAATTAAAAACGAATACATTTTAAAGGTTCCAAGACAAGCAGAGGAAATTTTTCTGATAATTCAAACATAAAAAAAAATTCTTAACACAGCAATTTTACAAAATTGTAAGTACTTTTTTTTTTGATTTTCAGAAACTTTTCTTTAAATAAAGTTTATTCGGTCGGATCATAGAAAAAGTTTATTTCTCTTTACTTATAAACTATATGTAACTCGCTTATAAACTATATGTAACTCGCTGGCCCAGTAAAAAATACCAATTACTTAAACTAAAATAAACCATCCTGGCCGTCGAATTAAAAAAGTTACACCACGGCGTGTGAGGTCTTATTTAATGCTGGCGGTCCGAAAGCTCTCCTAAATAAAAAGAGAGTGGATCTCGGTCGCCTGTGGCCGCAGCAGCCTCCTTTAATTTCGGGGCCTCTTTCGCTCGCATAAATGATCTATCATTCGGGAATTATTATTTTAAAGAGGCGTGCTTTATCACGATACGCGACCAAAATATATACCCTGTGTGCGGAGGAAATTATTATTAAATCATAATCGCTTATGCCCGCCACTTAGTGGAGAAAACTGACCGAAAATGCGTATGAAATGTATGGAGGGACAATAACCAAGCAGTGGTGAGATGTACATCTTATTTTAACAGGAAAAAATTAATTAGGTACTTATATCTTAATATTAAAATTATTTTTAAAATACCGTGTGAAAATATAAACCATTTAGCGTTTATCTAGTTAAATAAAACAATTTTAATTGCTAAATAATTGCCTTATACCTAATTGAAGAGATTACTGTTATTTTGCCGCTTTTTTATTGTTGTTTAGTTCATGGATCTTAGATTTTTAGTGGCATGTTAAACGAAATTATTTCTCTATGCACTACCGAAGATTTTACAAATTTAGTTTTACGTTTTTTTGTTAATTGTTTTAAACAATTAATTTTCTATATAAAAATGGTAATTTTATTTGTTTTTGATATTAATTCGTCTTTCATTGAAGTGTTTAAAATGGTTAGAGCTGTTCAAGATCCTGGGGCAGATCCTGAAACTATTCTTGAGGGGGTACTCTCTAAAAATGAATTAGTCAAAAATGACTAGTTACTACAGTTACTAGTGGCTGCTTTTTTACTTATACCATGGTTAACCATGGGATACCATGGTATCCCCTACATTTAATAGCCAATTTTTATGTCAAATTGTCCCCTGAATCAAAAAATACCGTCAAAAATTATGAAAGTAGAGCCGTTTTTGAGATATAATCAATTCCATATTATATGGAAAATTGACTATATCTCAAAACTTTTGACAACAATTTTACACGGAAATTGACTGCTAAATGTTTGGTATACATTTATTTCACAGCTCTTGTGGGGGAATATCCCCTCATTTCCCCTTGTATCTGCCACTGCTTCTAAAATGTCCCAAAACTATCAAGTTTTATAAGCGCCATTTTAGTTACGAGTTTTATTAGGCACGAGAGAAGCTTGCGAGCGAGTGTTTAATAAAAACAAGTGTCTAGAGAAGTTTATAAAACGAGTTGCATACTATACTTTATCTTTCTTCATAAAATTTGACATTTGACGAATTAAACCTCACTTTTTCGTAATTTATAACTAAGCTAACTTCAGCCCGTGACTAAAATGTCCAAAAGCCACTGTTGTTAACTTCAGCCCGTGACTAAAATGTCACAACTCGTCAATGTAGGAGTAAATAAAATATATTTCAGCCAGTTTTAGACAGCTTTAAAACATTTTAAGTTTTGAGAATTTAAAATTTAGTTCTCACATAATTTTTGAATAATTTTAGACTAAAACTGTCCTCTGAAACTACCCATATTAGGACTGTATAAAACTTGTAGGACAGTTGAAATAGTCTGCAATTTTAGGATATTTAGAGACTTTAAGACATTTTGTAGATAGTTTTAGTCTAAAATAATTCAAAAATCATCTTAGAAACAAAATTTATGTTCTTAAATTCTCTTACAATGTTTTAAAACTGTCTAAAACTAGGCATTTCTTGGATGATTTTAGGACTTTTTTGTACAGTTCTAGTACAATATTTGACAGTTTCAGTCTGAAACTTTCAAAAGGTTTAAGATCATTTTTAATCCGTTCTAAATCATTTTAACCACAACCTTTTGCAAATGCGTATTTTGTTAATAAAGAAAGTTCTTGGACAATCTTCGACAGTTTCAGATTATTTCAGACAGTTTAAGATCAATTTTAATCCGTTGTAAATAATTTTACATTGTTTTTTTCCACAACCAAAGGCGTATTTTTGTAATAAACAAAACTTAAGATAAAGATAATTTTCTAGATATCTTACCTGCACTTGATTCGCCGGTAGAAGAGTCAAAAGTCTTGGATGTCATCTGGAAAAGTGCGTCTAAAGGTGTGGCGCCCGGTTGTTTTCCTTGCTGCTGCCTTTGCCTTTGAGCCGACGGCGGAACGATGTCAGGACTGCAACAGTCGCTGGCCACACTACTGGATCTATCACTGCCAGTTTCCGACGTGTAACTTGCATTGAAAGCTGCGAAATCTGGTTGCAGTAGAGCTAACTGTTGCACTTTTAAATGTCTTTGGAAGGATTCTAGGCGTTGTTGGTGGGCCTCCATTTCTGGGTCTATGTCCCATGGTCTTACGATTCGGGTGCATGTTTTCGCGGGTTTGTGGTTGAGAATGTCCATTATGGAGAAGGATTTCACTCCGTCGGGTCTTGAATCTTCCACGACTTCCACAGTTGGTGATATTCTCCTGTCAGATTCGACCATTTTGAGCTTTTTTAGGGGTTTGAAGTATTCGTCTGTGTCTGTATCTGGACATCTACATTTGGGTTTCGTGTATGAAGGGCTAGTTTCTCTGGATCTTTCATATGTTGGTGACTGTAGGGCAGGACTTGGACATCCAACACTGATCTCATCATCAGACATGTACTTGGTGTTTTCGTCCATTGTGTTCTCCATAGCGCTTGGGCTTGGGGTTCTCGAAGACATAGGGCTTTCGTACTTGGTGTAAGGTGACATCTCACTTTTTGGGGAGTGGACCTCAATATCTTGCATTGTCCAAAACACACAAATCAATCAAAGATAACGTTCATTACACTGTATCACAAAACAACCGGTTTTAAAGAGCACTATACACGTGTTAACTCACACCGTATCTTAAACAGATCTGGTAACAAGTGAAGGTTCCCGCATACCAATCTAGTCAGCCAGGCTCTTTAGCATGCCACGCCCCCCTATTTACCCCGACGACCAATGGCGTCGCACCAGGATACTGACATTCTTTTGTGAACGAGCCGCTTTGCGTTTCGATTGGTCGTGGGTGTGGTTGATGGAGTTTCGTTTCGTGTCTCGGCCCACCAATCATCTGTCCAATTTATAGTGTGCAGTTTATATCATTTGTTTCGGAGTAGATAAATGAGATTTTGTTTTAGGAAGAGATTTACACATGTATTTAATGTAAATTATTTTGGTTTATCGCTTTTTGTTGTTGTGTGTTGCTTTCTTTATTGCCGGGAGAATAAATTCGAGTTGGTTTATGGGTATTTGGATTAATTTCATATTGTTTTTTTTTTTGAACAAACAAAGAGTTAAATATGAATTTGTGAATTCATATCTAATACCTACCTACACAAAATGGTTACTAATCTAGTAAATTCCCCAAGCAGCATTTTAAGTTAAAATAACCACACGAATTTTACCGTCTTCGTGTGGTTATTTTAACTTAAAATTCTGCATGGAAAATTTACTGCATATATACAGAACAGTTTATTTTTACTACCTACATAATAACAATCCAAGCAACCAAAAGAATAACGTAATACAAACAAAAATACCACCTATTTACGTAAAAATAACGTTAAAATTACTTCATGCCTGTTCTATCTTTCCAAACCTTTAACGTTTATATTTTCTGTGTCTCTATTGATAAAAATATATGTATATCAAAACTCTATGCTCACTAAATGTTTTAGTGTTTAAAATAATTATAAGACTTACCTATACATGTACAAAATAAATAAATAAAAAATACTTATATATAAGTAGCCCTAAAAATTATTTCATTAAATTTTAAATAACATCGAAATACCTAATTGGAAGATTTTTTAAATATTTTTAATAAATGATTAGGTACCTATAGGTATACATTTTTTAGTTTTATTTCTCACTTAAAATTATTTTCTTCTTCTAAATCATAATTTATAGTTTTGTATGCCACTTTAAACCTTAAGAAGTTTCCAGACAAATAAGAATTATTTCGGTTAAGTGGTTTTAATAAAGTGGCGGCTGGTGGATTTTAAGTATACCAATATCTCAGTTATTAGACATGGGACCCACACCAAATTTATAATAGTTTATATTGACATTAAATAAACAAGTTCGGCGCAAACAGAATTTAAATTGAAGTTTGCGAAAAAAAGTTAGTTTTTCCTGTCGCCTACCCTGCCTCCAGGCCCCCCTATTTGAGATAATTCAAATTAAAGTGGTGCAATTTATTATCTACTATAATTTATCGACAAATTTAAAATTTTATTCAAAAAATCCAAATATTACAGATTTTATTCGATTTTAAATTTTTATTATTTATTTTATTAAAATAAAAAAATATTTAAAATGGTATAAAAACTGTAATATTTGGATTTTTTAAATAAAATTTTAAATTTGTCGATAAATTATAGTAGATAATAAATTGCACCACTTTAATTTGAATTATCTCAAATAGGGGGGCCTGGAGGCAGGGTAGGCGACAGGAAAAACTAACTTTTTTTCGCAAACTTCAATTTAAATTCTGTTTGCGCCGAACTTGTTTATTTAATGTCAATATAAACTATTATAAATTTGGTGTGGGGCCCATGTCTAATAACTGAGATATTGGTATACTTAAAATCCACCAGCCGCCACTGGTTAATATTTTTACACTTAACTAAATGTCATTTAGTTAAGTGTAAAAATATTAACGGTATACGTATATGTTTACCTTTAAACATCCCTTTAAATAAAATAACCTATAAGTAATTTTCGTTGGTAAAGATTAAGTTAAAAAAACATCATTGTGAAAATTTATAATAAAAACTTATTACCTACATATTACTTAACAAGCTTTTTTACTTTAATGGCTGTTTCTATAAATATAAAAATTCACTTTTGATGAAATGTAAAACTTAATTAAGTTCTCTATTAACTTTATTGTCATTTGAAATGACCCATATCCCCTTAATATGAATATTAGTGGGAGCTCTCCCCTATACGTTTTGAACCGCAATTTATTAATTTTTGAAAACGCATGTCACATTATACTTTTACACGTTTTTATAGGTTTGGTCTGTAACTGTTCGCTGTGGAAAAAGGTTTTTATTTCCAGCAGAGTTGAACCTATAATTAATGTATTTTTTCTAAAAGTTTTTAATTAATATATCATATTATAGGTATTATATGGAAATTGATACAAAATTTTATACGAATTATTATTTAATTAATTTATATAAGTAGGTAACCAGTGAATACAAACAATCCAATTAGAGTTTATTAAAACATTTATTATTAGAGACCGGATTCTAGTCAAATTTTTTTCCCTTTGTCGACTTAAAAAAATACTAAAATGCCTAAACCTTGCCTAAAATAGGAAAAATGATGCCTTTTTTAGTATTTTTATTTTTAATAAAAATATATTATTTTATATTAAATGCCTTTTACTAAATTTTAGGAGCCTTTTTTAACTTTAAAGTGCCTAAAAGTCCGGTCTCTAGTAATTATGTTTTAATTGGCATCTATTTCATAGTTTAAGTGCAAAATTAATTTGTTTTCTTATACATATTAACATTTCGGCATACGATTTTTAAATTTGAAAAACGTTTTGCAATAATTAAAAATTAAAGTTTTTTATTTACAACATATCCAATTATATTTTTAGCCTAAATACCAATTTTAATTAAGGATTGAATCAACGAATTTTAACATAAAAATATTTGTTTTAGATTTTTTTTCTCAATAGGTCAGCCATTCCACGCTACTCGGGAATTTTTGTAGCGTCCGTTACAATAAAAAATTGTGAGTAAAAGCTACCGTAATTAAATTAAATACTATTACAATTGTTACTAATGCAAACATGTTTATTATGCTTGTAATAATTAGGCTTAAGCTTTTAAGCATCATAATTAAGGTAGTTGTATAAAACTATACTCATAATTTTTTATTGTAACGGACGCTACAAAAATTCCCGAACAGCGTGGAATGGCTGAGGTATAACCTAAAATAAAATACATAAATTAATAAATAATATTTAACATAACAAATTAATGATTTTATAAACTGTTTTGTCATAAAACTCTCTTAAAACGGTGTAAAGATGTTCTAAAACTGTCTTAAAATTAGTCCTAAAACTGATTAAAATTTCCTAAAACGATAGTCTTTTTAAAATGTCGAAAAATATAAAAAACTGCAGTCTAGAATGTCATAAAACTGTAGTCCAAAAACACTAAAATAATATTAAAACTGTCTAAATATGTCCTAAGAATGTCTTTTTAAAATTTCCTGCCGTCCTTAAATCGCTTTAAAATTGTTTTAGAGCTGTCTAAACCAGTTTAGAAATGGCGAAGTGTCTAAAAATATCCTTAACTGTTTTAAGTTCGTAAAATTGTCTTAAATCATGTGAAAATGTCTTTAAACTGTTTTAAATGTTTATATCATGTCCTAAAACTTAGAACCGTAAAACCTAGAAATGTCTAATTTGTCCTAAATCTTTAAAATTTGGTAAACTGTCATGTCAAAGCTTTGCCGAAAAATTGTCTACAATTTTTACAAATTCTTTAAAAATGTTTTAAGAATTTATGGTTCTAAGGTTCTAAAACTAAAATTTGGAAACTAGGTGGGAATCTAAACCGATTTTTTGCAAAATAGATTTATTAAATATTATTAATTAATTTTCAAAAAAAAATATTTTTAGAAACCTTTTTGTAGACCCAGTAACAAAAATATTTGTTGGAAATTGGGAACTTAAATGTAAAAAAATTTTATAGGAAATTTCCTAAACAAAAAAATTAACACATACCTACAAAAATCAAGACAAAAATAACATACACACAATTAAATAACACACCATTCTGAAATCATCAAATTATAAATAAATTTAGTACAATAGTACTACTACAACACATACTGATGCATTTCGTAACGTTAACCCACTTCACTGTATCCCCTAATTTCAGTTTGAAAACCAGTGATGGCATCTTTTTTTAGATACTTCGCACACTCGTTAAATAGGTATAAGGAATCCGAATAACAATAATAACAGATTTCTGGTAATATAAAGGGTTTTTCATTTAGAGCGTCAGAACTTTTAAATGAGATAAAAAAATAACTACATGTTATAATCCCGTAATCTATATTTTATTTTGAAGAACGATCGATGACATTATGTTTTAAAAATAATATCGTTTAAATGTCCCCCTCGACTTTGCCAGACTGAATGCATTCTGAAGGCCTAATTTTTTACTATTCTTTTACAAATATCGCGTGGTATATTTTGAATAGTGCGTTTAATGTTTCGTTTAAGGTCGAGAATTGTTCGTGGCTTATTTTTGTAAACCTGAGATTTCACATGATCCTTTAGATGCACAAAAGTTGACTTATTTGCCAGTAAACCCGTTTTTTCTAACTTAATAAACCTTATATTTCTCGCAACTTGCAAAATGTTGGGCAAACCGAACATGCATTTTGATGGTAAATACGAATTATTTCTAAGCGCTGTTAAATTGTTATCTGTCCATATTAATTTGACACAATGTACTGAACACATGTGTTGTCAAGATTTGACATTTACATTCCAGAGCAGCCTTATTTTTAGGATTAAAGTTATGACGCTTTAAATGGAAAACCCTTTATTATAAACATACAGTTGTTACAAACACGTTACGAAATAGAATAAAGTAACCAGAAATATAAGTTGCAGGCGCTGAAGTCAGTTGAACTTGTTGATGCGTATTTGTTGAACATTAACAAAATAATCTGTAACCTTTGAAATAAACAAAATGCTTACAAAATTGCATATTACCTTTACAAAACTTCGGTAAAATATTTTCCCTTGTTAAATAAAATAATAACAAACACTGGTTTTCTACAAAAAATTATGTAAAAATTTTACAAAATAAAATTACCAAACTACAAACTCATATTAACAAATCAGATTTTTATAA